TTATGAGAACACTTGTGCTACACCTACCGGAGTCATGACTCTGGTCGGTGGGAACTATTCGTAACGAGGGCTCTTATGGTGAAGGATTAGTAAAAGGATTAGCCAAGCAGCTTATTTATCTTAGTGATTGAATAGCATGCAAGCATCGAATTCTTACAAAGCAAGACTTACCTCACCTTCCATGGTTTACCAATTAGAAAATTGACATGTCGGGTGAGGTTGCTTCCATATTAAACAAGAGGAAGATATCTGAAACACAGCTCATTAGGAAAGAATCTGCTAAGAAAAAGTTGAAGGTTTGTTTTGAAAGAGCGACCTGATTCTTGGAAAAGAAGAAAGCTAATGGGTACACCGTTTACCAGCTAAATGGAGATGTATTCATGAAGAGGAAAAAGCGCTCTTTGGAACAACTTCGGGAAAAGCCTTATCAGTTCCTTCCATGTGTGCGCTTGATTCCCGCCTTTCGCATTGTCTTGACCGCAATTGCGTACTTGCACTAGTACAGAATCACGAAGGCTGCATGTTGAAGCAAACGACCAGCATCGAAGGCACACCTTGCGCTCAAAGCTGGTGAGTTGTGGGGCTCAACTATAAAAGGTTAGGAGATAGCGCCTCAGTAGTGGGGAAATACCGAAATACCCTAAATAGAGCCCGGACCGAGTTTTCACATGCGTAGGGCGAAGAGAGGACGTGGTCGGACGAGTTCTCATTTTTTGGTTTAACATCTTTCTCCTTATCACCTCACTTTCGCCGTTCAAAATGTAGAGAACCGTTACTGGAAGAACAGTTCTCCCAGGAAGCCTTGAGTGACGAGCTGGGTGCGGAATCAGGGTACAGCATCGTTGTGTGAAACACATGAGGGGGTCGTATTTGGTCGTTGTTGGGAGAGGGGAGGGGTCGTATGTGGCTTTGACAGAAATTTGCCGCGTTGGGAAAAAATTTTTCCCGGTTGTTGACTTTTCGCGTGATTTTTCCTGTTTCATGTGTACTACTTACTCCCGCACTCTGCCCCCCCCCCATTCGGCCGCTCGACAAATAATATGTGAGTGAGAAACTGGAAAATGTGGGAAATTGGTAGGTATACTCGAAATCCCTGAGATCGGGTAGGCGTGGCCGCATGCTTCAACTTAACCTGAAGGTGTCTATGCTTCTGGTGAGATATTTTCATCTTGACACAATTGTTGTCGTGTCTCTGTCCAACACAGACAAGATAACGAACAAGATGAAAGTTGTCCCAG